TGCTCCGAGCTCCCAGCTCCACGTATTCACGAAGTTTCTGTGAACCGCCTAATGCTCTGGTGCGGTGGTCAGAATCACTGCCGAGCTAAGACAGATTAATTTTTCTAAATACGCTAAACCCTCAGCCGCTATTGTAAAGGCTGCAGCTAGTGCCACACTGCGTGGTGTCGGCTGCCAGGCCTCAGGCACGGCCCCCCGCCTTCTCTCCCTCCACAGGGCAGGGGGCCGGGCACCCTTGGCCTGGGGTCCCCGCTCCGGAAGCTGCCGCCCATCTGACCGAGGGGACACGGCCTCCGAGAGCTGGCCGGCACACAGCTCACTCGCCAGCCAAGTTTGCAAATGCTGAGCTAACAAAGATGGCATTATGCAGAAGCCTGGAAGCACGCTGCTGGCCTGGGAGTTCAAATGAAGTGACCACTGCCAAAAACTTTGTTTGGGTCCCCACACTCCCCCCCCCCCCGCCTTGAAATAAAAGGGCAAGGATTTGTAATTTGGGGTCTTGCCGCCACTTGAAACCCATTAAGGTGGCCACACTGCCCTGGTTCTGGCAAAACGCGGCTCCAGTTCCTCATTTCACGTTTCATTAGCGGCCGCTGGAGGAGGTGGCAGCCTCTGGGGGCTGAGAGGAATTGCAGAAATCAGGGTGGGAGCCCAAAGACGGGGTTCAACACGCTGCCCGAAGGGAGTCGGGCAGGAAAAAGACGCGTGTGCTTTGTTGTTTCTTTAATCCGCCACATAAGGGTGCCAAGGGTCAGAGCCAAAGGCAACGTCGTGAACTTGCCAGGACCTCTGGGTGGCTATCACAGGAGAGCGCTCCCCCAGCTTCTTGCAGCCCAGCTGCAGGCCTCTGCCTCCTCCTCCACCACCACCCCCCCTCCCACCCTTTACACCCTCTCATCCCCTCCCCCAAAGGGTTCTGGAGGGCAGGACACTCCCTGCCTGCCAGGAACCTCGGCTCAGCACATCCAAGGAGAGCCCTCTCAAATATCACTCTGCTATTTCAAACCCACCAAGGATGCTGGACCCCTGCCACATAGCCACAAATACCTCACTCCTGCCCACACGACTCTGGGGTGCTTTCCTGCGAGACAGTCTCCCAGCCGCGGGTGCAGGGAGGGCTCAGCAGTCCTGCTGGGGACAGCACACGGGTAAGCGAGCCAGCCCCGCTGAGCTGCAAGGGAACCCCAGGTCTGCAGGCAAGTGAGGGGAACTTGCCCAGGCCATGGGACTGACTCCACATCTCCTGTACTCTCTGGGCTCTTCACTGGTGCTCCCAGAGGGGCGTGGGGCTTGGAGCAGTGGGCCTCAGACCCCTAAGGCTCAGGTGCAAAGTCTCTCATAGGACACACGTGTTTCTGGAAGGCGAGGCCAGAGCTTTCATCACCTCTTCCCAGCCAAAAGCTTTGAGCCATCGTTCGCAGCCTCCCTTCCCGGGGTTCAGGCCTCACCTAGGCCAGGGACAGCGATGCACCTCCCAGGGGCTTCGGTCTGACTGCAGGGCGTTCATTTCCTCGCTGAGCACGTGCGAGGCACCGAGCAGGCGGCGGGCACACTTCGGTTCCCCTGCAGGTACCCTCCCTCAGCCGAGCAGGATTCCACGTGCAGTGGAAAGCAGGGAGGTGAAGCTTCCAAGATGGGGAGTTTTTCGTCCCAGCTCTGCCACCTCCTGGTTACACGCTCTTAGGATACAACACCCGAAGTCCAGGCCTCAGTCTCCGCAGCTGTGAAGTGGGAATGAACCCACCCAACAAGGCAGGCAGCCTGAGGCCGCCACACGGCGTCTGTGCAAGCGTGTCACACAAAGTGCAGCAGACACAGCAAGGACCCCCCACTGCACTCAAGCCCTTTCGGGACCTCACCAACTCCACTCACTTTGTGCCACCAGAAGGAAAGCAACATTGGTGAACACAAGGAAGAAAAGGGGCCGGCACAGTAGGTTAATCCTCCACCTGCAGCGCTGGCATCCCACATGGGCACCGGTTTGAGTCCCAGCTGCTCCTCTTCCGATCCAGCTCTCTGCTATGGCCTGGAAAAGCAGCAGCAGAAGGGCCGGCCAGCGCCGCGGCTCACTAGGCTAATCCTCTGCCTGTGGCGCCGGCACACTTGGTTCTAGTCCCGCTCGGGGCACCGGATTCTGTCCCGGTTGCCCCTCTTCCAGGCCAGCTCTCTGCTGTGGCCCGGGAGTGCAGTGGAGATGGCCCAAGTGCTTGGGTCCTGCACCCGCATGAGAGACCAGAAAAAGCACCTGGCTCCTGGCTTCGGATCAGCATGGTGTGCTGGCCGCAGCGGCCATTGGAGGGTGAACCAACAGTAAAGGAAGACCTTTCTAAACTCTGTCTCTCTGTCCACTCTGTCAAAAAATAAATAAATAAATAAATAAATAAATAAATAAAATAAAAAGAAGAAGGTCCAAGTCCTTGGATTCCTGCACCCACATGGGAGACCCAGAAGAAGCTCCCGGCTCCTGGTTTCAGATTGGCCCAGCTCCGGCCATTGCAGCCATCTGGGGAGTGAACCAGCAGATGGAAGACCTCTCTGTGTCTTTCTCTCACTGTCTATAACTCTACCTCTTAAATAAATAAAAATTTAAAAAAAAAAAAAAGGAAGAAAAGGATGACTGGCAGTTGAAGAAGGCACCGGGGCTGGCACCGGGCCACAGAGGGTTAAGCCGCAGCCTACAAACCCACATGAGAAGTTAGCCAGAAAAGTGCAGTAAGCAATGGCTGCCACGGGCCTGTGGGGCCGTGCCAAGTGGCAACATGGACTCAAGTCAGTGACGAGCTGGCCCCCTGAGCAGCTCTCTGCCTCAGTTTCTTCCCCTGCAAGATGGGGCTAAGAGCATGCCTGCTCCCAGGGTCACTGGCAGGGTGAGTGAACTGCAGGACAGAAGCCACAGCAGTGGCCCAGCTTTGCAGAGGTGGCTGTACGGACACTGAGAGGAAGCAGCAGCCACAGTGCATGGAGTGCGGTCGTCACAGTCCTTCGAGGACAGACAGGGCTCAGACAGGTGGGAGCGAACGTGTCCCGGGCAGGAGGCAGTCCAGGAAGGAACTACGCAGTCACTGAGCAATGAGAAATGAGGGCGCCCGAGTCCGGGGCCTGGGGCCACGGACCAGAGGGACTGAGCACCAAGAGAAAGAGGGTTCCCATTAGAAATGTTTGAAGTATTTCTTCATCTGCCACCCCTCCAACCAGATGCTACTCCAAAACCTTCATCATCCCCATGCTGTGACCCAACGCCCGGGCCAGGCCACAAAAGGGGGAGCCCCAAAACTGTGACTCACAGAACTCACTCCCCGTGACCTCATCCCCCACCCCGCAGCATCCTCCAAATGTCACTGCCAGCCCCACCCAACTCCACTGCCGATCCTCAACCGACTGCCGGAAGCACGCCTGCGTGCAAACTCTCCCTGCCATCACGCTGGTTCCAGAAGGCTGACCAGACTACCACTGCCAGACGGGATCTCTCACGATTTACCCGAGCACCAAACCCGGCTACAAACCAGCAACTTCTCCGAGAGGCACCCTGCAAAGGACAGCACAGGTGGCCTCTACCCAGAGACGCGCTTGCAGCAGACCCAGCCCCCACGCTAACACAAAACCACTGCTGAACAACCGCTGGGGACTTGGGGTCAGCTGTCAGTAAGCTGGGTAACCACTGCTTTAAGGGAAATAGTTGCCAGGTACAACCACCAGCTGTTTTTATGACTCTTGCACCTCTGTGTCTCCTCCAGCCCTCCCATCAGCGCCGGGATTTTCCCAGGAGACCACATCACAAGCAAACGGGTCACCCCCTCCTTTTGCCTCTCAAACGCTACCAGGCCAAACGTTCTGGTCCCCGGCTTCTGTGCCAGCCGTGAAGAAGGCGCCGGGACTGGCCGGCAACCTCCATGGCGCACTCCAGGGCATTCGCCTTCCCGTCACGCCACGCTGCATCATCGCGCTGACTGCTCTCAAACCGCCAAGCCTCCAGCGCAGTCGCCGACACTCGGTGCTCCACCCGCCGCCATCTGACCACCGTTGACACTCAGCCGAAAGGGTCCTGATCGCCGAGGCCGTTTTCAGGGCACTCGGCCAAGAGGATGGGGCCTGAGGGCGCTCAAGGAACCACTTCCACGCCTGGGTGTGAGCCCCACCCCCACCTGCCTCCTGCAGGAGAGCAAGACCAGAGCTCACCTGCTGTGCAGGCGCACACGCTCAGCCCTCCACAGAAGCAGGAAGCAGTGGAAGTGGAAGGAGGCCGTGGAGGACCTACAGATACTTCCTCTTCCTTCTCCCACACAGGCTGTAACACCTGTTCCTTGGGATCACGGAGTCCGACTCCCGCCCAGGTTTGGAGCCCTTTTTTTGAAGGAAGACTCAGACTGAGAGATGAACACGTGGCAGATACAGCTCGTAATAATTATACATAACCCCTAAGAAATTCATCCACGTACAAACTGCACAACAAGGTAGAAAGTGATACAATACCAGCAAGAAGAGAGGGCATCCGAGTACGGACTGGCTGAGGCTCTCAGCACGCACGTCTGCGTGGATGCAACACTCACACTCACACTCACCCCGATGGTGTGAGCGCGCGTGCTCTGGACTCCGTGAAGTCAAGCAAGAGCCCGCCTCGCCAACTCCTCACTTAACCAACTTTCTACTCCAGGACTCAAGTTTCGCATTTGCCACCCCAACCTCCAAGGCGATAAACCAAAACCAATGAGGCCCAGCCCGCTCCCAGCTACCCTCCCAGGAGTCACAGCTGTGACGATTCTCCAGGTAGGGATCTCTGTTCCTTTGCGTGACGACAACATTATGAAAGTCCGAGTTAGAGCTCTGGCAGAGGAGGAGGGCCCGGCCCGGCGGGCCGCGGGGAGGTGGGCAGGGGAACAGGAAGAAAGGCAGGGAGAAGAGAAAGACCACTGCCGACCGGCTGTGTACTTGCTTCTGGTAGGAAAGAAGACAGAGCTACGCAACCCCGTAATTACTGCTAGGATTAAAAATCTGTTACTCACGTAATCATGAAAGGCTTTTGCTTCACTTGAATGTTCACAAGTGTCTCTCCTTTCAGGGGCTGCACAGTAGAGGTCCCAAAATACACTGCAAGTCAAAAAAAAAAAAAAATAAGATCGGGTTACTAATTATCACTTGGGTACACAACAGCAAGTGCACAATGCAACGCTGAGCACAGGGTCCCCGAAGGCTCCATCCCGCCTTCCCAGCCTTCCCAGGGCAAACTCAGCCTCCAACACAAAACGGGTCCAAACCCTTCCGGCAAACCTGTCACCCCCAGTGCCCTCTGGGAGCTGGATGCCTCACCACCACTCTCGGTGACACAGGGGATCTCCTCAGCGAGGTGGGTACAACCCTGCCAGGGGTGCCCAGGTGGACCAGGCCAGGACCTGGGTGGGAGGCCCTGCCGGTCTTCTTCTCCCACCCCACACCAAGATGGCTGCATGCTGTCAAAAGGCTAACTTGCCCAAGGCAGGACGCAACCACGGTTCACAGGCACAGCAATCTGGCTGACTCTGGCAGTCACAGGAACCTTACTGGTTCTTAACCTCAGAGCCAACACCCTCACCCCCACTGCACCCAGGTCCTCCCCCAAGGAAGTCTCGGGCAGGAACCACTCCTCCCCGGCCTGCCCCCAGGAACACCCTACAATCAGCCACAAGCACCCTGTCCTCTCCCAATCAGACAGCCCTCCTCAGAGCACCTGTGGGGAAGGGGAGAGCAGGCCTGGCTATCACACCCCCGCTGTAGCTGTGTGTGGTCACTCCAATGCTTTGAATCAACCAGAAGAACAACCGACAAACGCATAGCACTCGCGGCATTAACAAGGAGCCTTAGAAACTCTCCAGACCAGGAGCCCAATGCCCAGAGACAGAGCCTGCTGGCAGGGTGGAGTGGACACCGACACGCTGAGGTCCAGGGCTCCCGGCCCCGCTCTAACAGCCAGCTCTGCCAGCCACCAGACAAGCATCAGACTCAAGGGGTAGGAATCACACTGCTGCCCAGTTCCACAGCCACAGTCAGACCACACCAGGCAACCTTTAGCAGGATCCCAGCCTCTCAGGGCCGCCTCGGCCTGAGCCCACACATCAGCCTCTACCTGCTGGGGGCTGAGGCAACAGCAGAGGAGTCTCAGGGGACCTGGCTGTAACAGGGAAATCGGGGCCTTCCACCAGGGCAGAGAGAACTGCACCCGCTGGGTGAGCCCTCCACCCGGCAGAGGATTTCCAAACTACAAATTCCCCGGCCCCTTGTAAGTAACTTCTCACAAACCCACGTTCCTCCAAGCGCCAGGGCTCTCAGGCCCTGCCCACGCCATCCACACGCTCCCTTCCACAAGCCACGGCAGGAAACCCCATCACCCACTCCTACAGGTGGAATCCTTAAGCTACACCAACTGCCTCCGACACCGGCAGCTCAGAGGTTGGCAGAAGTAATTAAAAACTCATTTTCTCCGCGCAAGTTCGAACAGACCCTTCATCCTCCTGCTGTTCAAAGAGATTTGAAACAGCAACCGGAGCTGGAGGCCAGGTAAACCTGTAAGAGCCCTTCCACACCACGCTCTGCTTTCCTGAACTCCACCGAAACACCAAAGCCACTCTGCTTCATTATCCTTCTCAAAACGATGTCCGAGACCTCGGCGATATGTCCCACCAATCACCCAGTGACACACGCGTGACAAACCCTCCCCACGACTCAGAGCCCCCCGCCCCAGCCTGCCACAAACCCAGCACTGAGACCAGACCCACACCGGCCCCAACACTTGGACAGGGGGCCCCAACCACAAACTGCAGGCACTCTGCACCGCGGGCTCTGGGCCCGCTAAGGTTCTCAGCTCTGTGGTTTCAGGGATGCTTGGCGGGGAGGACAGGAAGGTCCAGGGAGTCCGAATCAGAATCTGTAACGCAGCCTGCAGTACTTGTTGGATTTTTCTCAGGCTGCCTGGAAAAGGCTCCAGGAAGCCTTCTAAGGTTTTGAGCTCACAGGAGAAAAAGGGACAGGCCGGTTGCAGAACAAACCCAGTACCCCCTCCCCTGAGCCCCGCCCCCACCCCTCTAATTAAAGCAACATGCACAATTGACAAAAGTCCTCCCAGAACTTTTCAGAGTGCGATGGAAAAGCAAGGCATCCCAGGCAGACGCCTCACAGGTTCTGCGGGTTCTCAACGAGATGGGAAAGAGAAAGAAAGAACTTTAGGCAGCAGCCGCTTCTGCCCGTTCTGCTTAGCAGCCCTGGTCTGAGGGTCCAGTGGTGCTTAGCTCTGGGCAAAGCGGGGGGGCCAAGGAGCAGAGGGGCCTCCCCTCTTTGTTCCCTTGGACTCATGGCTCAGAACAAAACACACACACACACACAACTATCACACAAACTTACCACCACCACGAGTGCAAAAACCCCGGCGGTTCTCCCAAAGTGATGTTTTTTTCCCATCGAATCTGCAAAGCAGAGAGCAGAGGCAGCTTAGAGAAGCCAAGAGCATGGGGCCGGGCCAAAAGGCTGTGAAGACCAACTAACAATAAATGCCAAAAGGTGATAAAAATTCAAAATGGTGGCCACAGTGGCAGCTCCCGAAAACAAAGGCTCCAGGAGAGTGGGGAGGGGGGGTGTCAGGAAATTGGGCGCTGGGGGGGGAGCCCCACTCACCTCCGATAAGAAGGTCTGTGCAGACTTCTGTGCTCCGACGTGCAGCAAATACTCGTAGACGTATAAAGCTAACCTGCAGAGCCGGCAGAGGCAGAGAGAGACGGAAGGCGTCAGACCACACCGGGCGCTGGCTCCCAGCCCCGCCAGCCCCGTCCCATTGTGGGCCCCGACCGCAGGCCGGGCTGCAGGGTGCCCACGGCTCGCGGTGGCTACCCAGGGACGCGTCCACTCCAGTCGTGGAGCCGCCAAGCAGCCCCCAACCTGAACTTCCAAGAGGTGTGAGGGCCAGACCCACCTGGGTCTCTCAAAGTCGCGAGCCACCCGACCCCACGGCCGCCGCGCTACCCAAGCTTCGGGGGTCCACGGAGACTCGGCGCGCTCTGGAGAGGGCAGCAAAGCGCCACCCTCGCCACCGCCCCCAAACAACTGTCCCCCGAGCCTGGGGCCAAGCCGGCGCCGCCGTCCCTGCCCAGCCCGGCGCCGAGGCCAAGGACAGGGAAAGGGAAGAGCGCTCCCGGCCGAACAAAGCCCCCGGCACGCACTCCTCACGCCGCGGGCGGACAAAAGGAGCCAGTGGGGCTGCAGAAGCCACGCGCCCCCCTGCCCGCGCCGGGTGGGCAAAGTGCGGCCGCCGCGGCGGGCGCCCGGGCTCTCGCGCGGGACCTCGCCCACCCCTCCACGCGGCCACCAAGTGCCCCCTCCCCGGCGGCTCCCCCGCCGCCCCAGCCTCCGCCGGCTCCCAACAATGGGCGCTCCCACTCCGCCCCGCCGCGGCCTCGGGGAAGGGGCCAGGCAGGAGGCGCAGGGCGCGGGGCCCGGGGCCCGAGGGCGCAGCAGCCCGGCCCCCGCCCGCCCACCTGCCTCGTACCGCCCGCACGCCCGCCCGCCCTCAGCCCGGCGGCGGCACAGCCGCCACTTGCAAAATAGGCTTACTTTTCCCGAGCCTGCCCGTCCGAGGGCACCGCCGAGCCTTTGCCTTTGGCAAACATGGTTTGCAGAGAAGAGGGCGCCGAGCCCCGCCGCCGCCGCCGCCGCCGCTACCGCTCCGGCGCTCCCGAGCTGCCCCACGCTCCCGGCCCCCTCCCCGGCGCTCGCTCACTCGCTCGCGCTCTCCTCGCCGCGCTCCCCTCCCTCCCCCCCAGGCGCTGGCTCCGCGCTCTTTCCAGCTGTCAAAGCGTCAGCCCCGGCCGCGGCCCCATCGCCCTGGAACTCCTCCCGCGCCGGCTCGGCCTCGGGTGCCGCCGCCGCCGCCGCCGCCCGCACGGCTGCCCGCTCGCTCGCCCGCTCGCTCGCTCGCTCGCGCGCCCGCCCGGCTCCGCCTGCGCCGCCCTCTGCGCCTCCGGCACCGCTGCTGCCGCCGCCGCTGCCGCTGGTCTACTTGGAGCTCAACCGAACGTGGCTACCCGGGCGAGCGAGCGAGGCGGGCGTCAACGTCCGCGATTGATGGCCGCCCCGGCCAATCGGCGCGCGCGGGGGCGGGCCCGGCAGGGACGCCCCTGTCAGCGCCCGGCCGCGGCAGTCCCCGCTGCCCTGCTCCTGCGGGTGGATCGGGGGGTGGCCGCGGGCGCGAGCCCCTCTTCACTGCGGATTGGGGAGGGGTGGCGACCCGAATCGGGATGGGAGAGCTCCAGGCCCCCAAGAAGACGGGGACCCGACCAGCACTCCCGCGGCGTGGACCGCTGAGGGTGGAGGGGCAGGGGGCGCTGCGGAGGCGTCCGAGGGGAGGGGGCGCAGACCCCCAAGCCGCGCGCGGCTCGCTCCCTCCCGCCACGTCCCCCTGCCTTATCTGCCCCTCTCCTCCCCCGCCGCGGCCCGCGCCAGCCCAGCCCTTATCTCGTCCTCCCCCTCGGCTGCCCGCCGCCTGGGCTCCGACCCCGACCCCCTCCCCAGACTCCGGCCCGGCCCCCCGCCCGCCCCGCCCCCGGTCCTCCCTCTCGCCCAGTCTGGCTTCCGAGCGCGGGGCGCGGGGCTGCACGCTGAGAGCTGAGCTGCTGGAGCCGGCGCCGAGGCGCGCGGCTGCTCCTTTACTAGATCATTAAAATACTTTGGAAAACCCCAAAGTGGAGCCGCGCGAAAATGGCCCTCGGCGAGCTTCGGGGAGCCGGAGGGAGGGGATTGGGGACTTAGGCTCAGAGGGGGGGAAGAGTGGTTCCTCCCCCAAATTTCCAAGGCTTGCCAACCCTGGCAAGTTAGCCCCTCGGATTCTCCACGGGAAAAAGGGGGCCATTCGGGGGTGGCGGGGGGCGTCACCTGGGCACCCCACAACGCGAAATGCGCGCCATAGGTACCCGCAAACTTCAGATAAATGGAACTAAATTGGGGAGTCGGGGGGCCGAGAGCCAGGCGTGGGGGGAAGGGAGGCTTCCATTGTCAGTGACCCAGGTGTACAATGGGAAATTTGAGGGGGGGTGCTGGTAGAGTGACCCAGCTATTTGCTGCTGACTCTGTTCCTGTCCACGCTGAAAACACGCTGTGTGCCTCTCATTGGAGACTCTCAAAACCTGAAACCAGCGGAATAAGGGAAGGCTCCCCCATTTTCAGACTGTTTTTAGAGCGCGGTTCTCTTTAAATGTGATAAAACACTGTCGGCACTGTCTCTTTAAAAGAGTCAAGCAGAAAAAGCTGTGTAAGCGCTGATTGGCTGCCTGTTTGGATACATCTTTAGGGGAGCCTTGAAACTGTTAGCCTAGGTTGATTTTTTTTTTTTAACTGCGCTGTTCCAATAAACAAGTAACGCCCCTCCCCCTAACATGCCTCGCACCAAACAATTAAAGGATAGGTCAGTGTCCTGGGGAAAACACGTTTCAAGTAGGAAAACTCAGAACTAGATTTCAACAAAATAAACAATAATTCCCTACCATTAAAGTTTGCTTATTTTGCTCTGTAGTAGAGAGAAAAGGGGCTTTTAAAAGAAATTCCCGGCAGCAAACGGATCTGCATAGGTTCAGGAAGGAGACTGGCTGCAGTTTTGGAATAATGCTCTCCTCCGTGTAACAGCCTCCCTGAATTAGAACACAGCCAGGCCCTGCGACCAACCAACCGTCTGGGCTCACTCTGCTCTCCAGGGGACCCAGAGCTCAGGGAGAAGGGGCAGAGAACGCACACCCAGAGCGCTAGCCTAGGGGTGTCTGTCAGGCCCTGCTTTAAAGCCTGTTTTGTGAATGGAGGAAGCACGGAGGTTAGAAGGGAATTGAAATACAACGATAGGGGAGAGAAGGAAATAATTACAGTTATTTTTCCCCTAGGCGGTTTGATTTAATAGGGCTAACTTAAGGTACCTTGGAGCCCACACTAATTAAATTGGCTTGCTCCTACCCTTCCCCTGGACTTCCTTCTATTTTTGACGGGCTAGGAATGGCCAGGGATGGCTTGTCAACAGACTGACTCACAGAAGCCTGACTCATCGTGTGTCTGCAAGGCCCACAATGATGAGCATGGGTTAGGTCCTGGCCGAAGGGAGACACTGCCCTTCCCGGGCCTCGCACACAGGCCGTGGGCTGGCTCCCTCTGGCTGGCCAGGCGCCGTCGGCAGTGGGGCTGCAGCACGAGCCTGTCTGCTCACACATCAGTTTCCTCGTCCAGCAGCGAGGACAGGGGCCTAGGAGAGCCTCCGTGCTCTTGACTGCCTGCCACTCTGGGAGCAGTCACCCCTGGAAAAGGACCAGCACCTCCTTCCAGGGCGTGCGTGCGTGCGTGCGTGCGTGCGTGAGGAGAGCAGAGGGGTGGTGTTCAGGGACCCTGTGCCCAGCGCTTTGTCCCTGTGGTCTGCTCTTTGTGGGGTTTGACGCGGAAGGAGACTGCCGCTGCGTCGGTAGGTTCTAGGAGGAGCTAAAAAAGGCAAGTGGATGGGCCCCAGTGGAGCCAGCAGGGAGGTGTCTTCCCTACCCCCCCCCCACCAGCTTGCCCACAAGAAGGGAGCTGTTGGGTGCCCTGGAAGCAGAGCCACTCAGCAGCCCCAACTAGGTGTGTGGCCACTGGCACTGTGATTGGATCAGAAGCTAATCCAAACACCCAGAACAGGATTCAAGGCCCCAACCTCCCTTTGTCCCCTGAGCCCCCCATCTCCACCTCCCACATCTGGGGCCCCTGATTTGTCTCTGCCTGCAAAACCTCCTGCCCCAGCCCCCTGCCTGAACCTTTTTTTAAGGCTAACCACCCCCCCCACACACACACACATACACACACACACGCCCCAGGGCTCTCCTCCAGGAGGACCTCACTGCCTCTCTCGCCTGCAGCAAAACCCACCCCTCCACCCTTGGCCCTCTGGCCGGGTTTTCGGGAGCCTCCGGAGCAGCTCTCCATTCTCCTGCCCATGGTGTCGCCACTTGTTTACCGTCTGCCTCCCCCACCAGCCTGGGAGCAGGCTCCGTGGTGAGTCATCTGGGCGCCAGCGCAGGTGAGAGAGATACCTGCGTGTACATTAACACTCTCGCTGTAGGCAGCAGGAGCCCCGGGGAGCCCCAAACCAGCCCTACACCCCGTGGGGAGCTAACTCGACAAAGGGCTTCGAAGAGGCGCTCCCCCGCGGCCCGGCCCCACCCACCTGAGCTACACCTGGTGCTGGAAACTGAATGACCAGGGTCTCTCTCCCTCCCTTCCTGTCCTCCTTTAAGGTCCTGGCTTTTGAACACCTACTGTGTACACCTGTGTACCCAGCACCTGGGTAATAAACCAAAGGAAAACCCTTCCACACACACCCCCACCCATGGAGCCCCTGCCATGGTGAAGCCCTCTGCCCAAGGTCCCTTCCTCTGCTGCACCGGACCCCACCCTGGGCAGGAGCATCTCCCCAGAGCCTCCCAGGGGCCCCTGGTGTGGAGCAGGTGTGCGGCCCTGGCCCTGGCCCTGCCTCCTGCCTGGCTGATGGGCTGGCCCACACAGCACAGGGGTGGGCCGACTGTGTGTTTCCCCACCCTGGGAAGGTGGCTCCTGGGGTCAGGGACCCACTATTGTCTGGTGCTCAGTAGCAATAGTGAAAGTGACAGAAGGAGGGGCCAGGTTGGAGGGTTAGAGGCCGGGAGGTTGGGGGGGAGGCGGGAGAGGTGAATTCCAAGCTCAGGCTGGAGCGGCTGTTCCTCTTCCTGTCTGTGCTGCCTGAAACTGGGGCCACAGCAGCCCTGAGCTCCCGGAGCAGGTGTGTGGGCAGCCGCTGAGGGAAGGGGCCTTGGGGCCAGCAAGCCCCACCCAGAAGTCTGCATTTGCCTTGTTCCCTGTCCCTGGTTGGCTGCAGCTCTGTCTCAGTGTCCCTCATAGTTGCCGAGAGGCTGGGGCTGTTGGGGCAGACGCTGGGCTTTCAGCCCGTCCTCCTCCTGCCCCAGCAGGCCCAGCCCTGGAGAGGCAGGGATGCCTCCGATCAGACCTCAGGCTGCTCCCCCCAGGAGGCTCGGGCCCAGGCTGGCGAGCCCGCTGGTAGCAGAAGTCTCCCCGCCAGCTCCAAGTGCTTCCATGGGAAGAAGGCAGAATCCAGCCCCCAGGGACTTGGGACAAGTGACATCCCCTCTCTGCACCTAGCGTCCTGGTCGGGCAATGAGGATGTTGATGCCAGGGCCGCAGGCAGGCTGGGAGGGTGAGGGGAGGGACTGACAGGGCCTCAGCCCCGCCGTGGGCAGTCAGTCAGTGCCCGCTGAGCCCACGGGCCTGGACCCCTCTGGACAACGGACGGAGGCCTCTCGCGAGGCTGCTGCGGGGCTCAGCAGAGACCAGCAAGTGGGGAGTGCTTTGTAAAGGGAAAAGTGAGGGCTCCCGGTGTGACTGCCGTAGCAAGGCAGCCAGAAGTGCCGGGGAAGAAGCAGGTGGGTTCAAGCTGAAAATCCAGTGTTTGCAGTGACTTCCACTGGCACCTGCTTGTCCTGAGCCGTTTGTCACAGCACAGCAGGCTTCAGGCAGAGAACAGGGTTGGTTCTATCCAGAAAGCCATTGCTAGCTACCATGCGCTCAGCCTGAGGCCCGGGGCGCTGGGAAGCACCGGGGAGTACCAGGCCAGACCCTGTCCCTGTCTCTGGCGCTGCCACGCCTTCCTCTCCAGGGTCCTGGCCTCTGAGTTTCCCCTTAGTCCTTGTGAGCTCCTAGGGCAGTGCTCCACCTGCCCCCAACCAGGCCAGGAGGAGCCCTGGCTCCCTTTCCTGCCACGCCTTTGCCCGGCGCCTGCCTTTTCTCCCAGGTGAGGGCTTCCCTCCTGGCCCCTCCCCTCTCCGGGTCACACCCCCACACCCCCTCAGTAAGGAACTCTCCAGAGCTGCACCTGCCCCCATCCTGTTCTGTTTTTCTCCATAGCAACAACGCCACCTGACATAGTATGTGTTTATTTTTTTCTTGCCTCTCTCCCTCACTGGAATTTAAGCGCCCAGATGATCACAGCCCCTGTGCGGAGCTCACAGCCCAGCGGAAAAGACAGGGTTAATGCAGTAGGCTGAGTGAAAAATATGCCATTACCAAGGGTGCCAAGTGCTAAGAACAATCTGTAGGGGATGCCCTAAGAGCAAACAGCAGCCCAACTCACCTGGCGGGGGAGGGGTGGTGGTCAGGGAGGGCTCCCCTGAGGAGGTGACATTTGAACTGTAAAGGGAGTGTGGGAATGTCCAGGGCCGGGGAGGGAGTTCTGCCAGGTGGAGTTACTCGCGGCTGGTCTTCCTGTCCGGAGCAGTGCCCTGCAGTTCTGAAGACGTCCCTTGCCCTGGTTTCTCGGGGGAGGTGCTGTCAGGTAACAGAGCAGGAAAC